ATCATTGTGAATAAGGGGGAGTACAGAATAGGGACCCAAAGCCCATCTGTAGGTAACCCTGAAGGCGATGGACTGACACACTGGCTGCAATAAAGGCCTCAAACTTAGCAATTGAGGGGATGGTGTGGGACTGGGAAGGGTTTCATTCTTGTATGCAGGGTGGCTAAGAGTTAGCACCAACCTGAGGGCACCCAACAACACCCAGACCACGTGATTAGTTTCAACCCACCTTGTAAAGCCAAAGGAATAGCTTCCACCTGGATCTTCGTGGGCTTCTGCCATCCCAGCTGGTCACAGGCTTCGCACAACACATCTGTCACACCCTTACAATTCAGAAAAGCACCACTGAGCAAACAGCAGCGACCCCTCACCCCGCTTCCCCGTCCATGACATACCCACACGTGCACGGCTCACACTTTGAACCCAAAGGTATTTATTGTGCACCTACTCAGAGCCTGCTCTTTCACCATGAGTACCCGAGGGCGTGGCTCAAGGCTTTATGCGTATTATCTCATTTAATCCGCACAATACTTGGGTCAGGTAAATTCCATCCTCAACCTGCAGATGTGGCCATTGCGACGCCTACAGGTCTCGTGACTTTACTGAGTACGTGATGATCAAGTTGCAAACCTACTTAATCTGATTCCCAAGGCAAAGCTCTCGAAAGACTGATCTGTCGCCGGTAAGCTGTCCTGGGGAAGTGCCAACGGGGTCTCTCCGGGCCTGGCAGCCCGCCCGCCACCCGAACCCAGCTGAGGACGTGCGTCTGAAGCCCGCCTCTGCTCTTCCGGGGAAGCCTAACTTAGGCCCGGCCGCTCCCGCAACTGCCGCCCGGGCTCTACGGCCCCCGGACTCCGCCCGCGCCTTGCGCGGTCAGAGAAGCTGGAGTCATCGACCTCACCAGATCTTTAAATGTTTTAGCGTCCTCCTCCTCTACCGCCGGCGTGGGGGCTTCCGTCGGAGAATCGTGCTCCGGGGACGCCGCCATTCCGTCCAAAGATTCCGGAAGTCGGTCGGCGGCGCGCGTCCTTCTGGGAAATGTAGTGTTTCTTCTTGCCGGGCGGATGCTCTGGGCGCCCCCTGCAGGAACTTCCAGCTGCCGGCGAGGCGGGGGGAAGCTCGTGGAAATGGGAAGCTCCTTAGGGGTGCGCTTACCAGCGGAGGCTTGGGCAACTGAGTCCGTTGGTTGGGTGGAATGCAGATGGCTCTGCTGACTATGGCCTCCAGTGTGTCCATTATGTCCCATTTTAAAGCTCTTACTACGTCTCTAATCCGTTCTTGTCCTAGCTTTCCTGATCCTGCAGTTTGGAACAGATCGATAAAATGTTGCTAGCGCTTCTCCAGTTACTTCTGATTCACTGCGGTCCACATGTACCGAGTATAACTTGCGCTCTATTTTAAATTGCATCTGAGAGTGAGGTGTCACTTGTCACCTTAAGACACACAGAGGGAAACACAGACGTTTCCCAGGTTTTACCGTAGCTCCAAAAACATGGGGTTAAGACGCACTATACTCAGAAACCCCAAACTCACTGTCATCGAGTCGGAGCTGACTCATTGCGACCCTCTGGTGGGCTTCCGAGACTTACTGGTGCCGGCGTCCTCAAGCATTTATCCGGCCCGTAGGGTGTTTTTGCCCCGTTTGTTTTTTTACTTCAAAATAAGATATGTGCAGTGTGCATAGGTATTTGTTCATAGACTCCAACGAGTCTGAGGGGCAGTGAACTGGCCCCCTATTTAAAAAGTTTGAGGACGCCTGGATGGAGTAGAAAGCCCAGTCTTTCTTCTGAGCTGCTGGTGGTTTTCAACTGCGGACCATGCCAATGGCCCCCTCACCATCACCACCACCCTATGCTGATACTGCCTTATCAACATAACAAAAAACACCCAATCCCAAATGGAATTACACCCACAGGTATAGGGAGTACACCTATTCTGGAGGAGCACAATTCAGTCCTAACAGTACTTGACACAAATTCTAACTGTGTGAGGGAGCCCTTGGGATGCAGTGGTTAAGTGCTGGGTTGCTAACCAAAAGGTCAGTGGTTTGAACCCACCAATGGCTTCAAGAGAAAAATGTGGCAGTATGCTTCCATGAAGATTACAGCTTTGTAAACCCTACTCCATCCTATAGGGTTGCTATGAGTCAGAATGAACTCCATAGCCCACACAATGTGTGAATTGAAACTCAGCAACACTTGGAGATCATTAATACACATATATTTTTCAGTTACCATAGCGCTGATTCCAACTCTTGGCTGCCCTGGTATAGTCAAGTAGAACTGTGCTCCAGAGGGTTTTCAATGGCTGCTTTTTTGGGAAGTAGATCACCAGGACCATATATATAGAGATAGATAGATATATAATTATATATATTCTGTATAATTATATATATATATATATATTCTATATAGTTATGTATATAATTTTATTGGGGGCTCTTAAGGATCTTATAACAATCCATACATCAATTATATCAAGTGCTCTTGGTATCAGCTCCTCTTTTTTACCCGCCCTCCTCCACCTTCCTACCCTCATGAACCCTTGATAAATTATAAATTATTGTTATTTTCCTATCTTAACACTGCTCATTGTCTCCTTTCACTCACGTTTCTGTTGTTTATCCACCTGAGGGGGGGTGGGTTATACATCAATCATTGTAATCGGTTCCCCCTTTCTCCCCCCTCTTCCCCCACTTTCCCCTTATCCTCATGGTATCACTACTCCCATTATTGTTCCTGGGGTAGTTATCGCTCCTGGATTCTGTGTATCGAGAGCTCTTGTCTGTACCAGTGTACATGCTGTGGTCTAGCCTGATTTGTAAGTAGAACTGGGGTCGTGATAGTGTGTTGGGGGTGGGGGAGCGTTAAAGAACTAACGGGATGCTGTGTGTTTCCTCGGTGCTATCCTGCACCCTGGCTGACTCACCCTTCCTGTGACCTTTCTGTGAGGGAATGTCCAATGGTCTACCGATGGGCTTTGGGTCTCCACTCCACCCCGCCACTTGTTCACATTGATATGATTGTTTTGGGTCTTCTGATGCCTGATAACTGATTGCACCGACACTCCGTGATCACACAGGCTGGTGTTCTTCCATGTGGGCTTGTTGCTTCCCTGCTAAATGGCTGTTTGTTTATCTTCAAGCCTTTAAGACCCCAGATGCTCGATCTTTTGATAGCCGGGCATCATCAGCTTTCTTCACCACATTTGCTTATGCACACAATTTTTCTTCAGCAATCTTGTCAGGATGGTGAGCATCACAGAATGTCAGGTTATTAGAACCAAGTGTTCTTGTCTTGAGGGAGGGCTTGAGTAGAGGCCCAATGACCAGTACCTTCTGAGGTGTCTCTGAGTAGACTCGAACATTTAACCTTTAGCAGCCAAGTGCATTATCAGTTTATACCACCGAAGGACTGCCTGTCATGGATACCCTGCTCCTTTTCCTAATCTCCAAAGTGCATGCTATGTTTGGAATATACCAAATAGGTCTTCCAAATGAGCTTCCTCTGACTCTTCTCTTCCTGTGCTCTGCCATGCCAACCTGGAGGGAACTGCTGGCCCGACAAGTGGGGAATGGAGTTCCAGGGCACAGGAGGTGATAAGAGACAAGACCCCACCCCAGCCTCGGGAGGCCCCGGCCATTGCTTTCTGGGAAGAGAACATCATGTCACCTGGTCACAAGCCGTTGCCTTCTGCACAATCGCACTCACACAGGAAGGGAAAGAACTGAATTATGTACTGTCTTCTGTTGGGCCCAATCCCTGGCTTCATTTTGTGCTGCTAGTAGCTGTCATTAGTCCCTGTCGAATCAATTTCAACTCACAGGGCAACCCTCTGTGTGCAGGTAGCCCTGTGCTCCGTGCGGTTTTCGAGCTGTGACCTTGCAGAAGCTGATGGCCAGGCCTTAGGCCTAAAGGCACCCTGGTGGGTTTCAGCTGCCAGCCCTTGGGGTAGTCGTCCAGCACCACCCACCTATGAACCCAGAGGCTCTTTCTGATTTCATCTAGGGTCAGGAAATGGGAGCTGAGATGTGCAGGTGAGAAGCCTGACTGGGGAGGGGCTAGTGGGAAGCAGAGACCAGGGCCCGGACGATGGAAAGACAATAGAATCCTATATTCCACAGGGGTTACAGACACCCGTTTGTCTGCACGTGTTACAGATAGAGATCGGGAAGAAGACACACACACACACACACACACACACACCCCAAACATAAATTTCGTAGGGGAAATTAACCCCAAAGAGATGAAATTGCTGCTGCCGCCTTCAAAGAAAACCTATTTGGAGGGAACTGATTTAAACCACTCAACCGCTATTGTAATGTGAAAACTCTATTTGTTTTTAGCCAAACAAAGCCCATTGCTGTTTGTTCTTAGAAGCCTCAGACAATGACTATTTTTTAAATTTCCTCCCCTGGGCATCCGTGGATCAAAGAGGACGTGGGGTCTCCTCAGCGTTGTGCTCTTCTTCGGCCAGGGGTCTCTGAATCGGAATCCAGTCCACAGCAACGGGTTTCTTGTTTTGTTTTTTGAGAGGGGTAAGTTTGGGAGTTTGGGTCTGACAAATGCCAGAGAGCTTTGGGCCTCCACCTAAGCCCCATGTCGATGGCCACAGGCACGGTGCAAAGCTAACACTCTCATTCGCCAAGAGAGGAGTCTGTGCTTTACTCTTCTTGGCACACTTCCAGTTGCTCGGAAACTTCTGCTCTGGTAGTGGAAACAAAGTCTAGAGGTCCATGCTGTCACTGAGTCATGTCACATGCTGTGCTTTCAGAACAATGCGGACAGTTCCCACAGGAAATCCAGATAAGCATGGGAACCGAAGCGGACTTGAAACAGTACGTGTGTATTGCTCCAGGGGGAAAGGGGTCTCAGGCACTGAAAGGCCTTCGCGGGGCCCTGGACACCTTTGCCTTTGTGGGCCCGTCCTCCATAGATGAATATTTAAAAGTATGTCTTAGGACTGCAGTGGTATAGAAATACCTATATGAATATGACATATGGAAACATTTTCTTTGTTTTTTTTAATTTAAGATAAATTAAAACTTATTTTTACAGGCTTCTAAAAACATTGTGGGCACTGGCTCTGGGCCAAGCAGGCCTGATAGATAAGAGAAGGAAAGGAGGGCCGTGGTCAAGCCTGTAATAGGCAGGTAACTCAGGCTGCCCTGGGATGTGATGTGAGTGCGTTTGTACATGGGTGGTTACTGAGCTAATTAAAATCAGCCCCCAACATAGGGACAGGACAAGAGCTCTCTGGCCGACTCGAATAAAAATCAGTTGTGTGTCAGTGTCTACACAAGCTCTTCCCAGCAGTGACATGGCTGTAGTCTCATGTGGAGAAAGCCCACGGTTTCGATTAAATTGTATCCCTCAAAATAGGTGCTGCAAATCCTAACCCCCATACCTGTGGCTGGACCTCTGGTTCCAGCGGTTAAGCACTTAGCTGTTATCTCAAAGGCCAATGGTTTAAACTCCACAGCTGCTCTGCAGGAGAGAGATGCAGAAGTCTACGTCCTTCAAGACTGAGCCTTGGAAACCTGGGTAAGGAGTTCTGTGCTATTAGGTCACCATGAGTTGGAACGGAATCGATGACAGTACTATTTTTTTCATTTAAAAAATCCCACTTGGGAATGGTTGTTCTTTGTCATGTTAATACGATTGTCTCAATGTAGTGTGTTAGTCCTTACGTCTCTGCTTGTTCATAAATCTCCCGCATGTGCTATGCCGGTTATCGAGCACGAAGTAACTAAGGCATGACAGAGAGCTCTTTGTCACAAGAGAGGGCCCGTGGAAATGTAATCGGCTGGGAACGTAGCTTTAGGCTACTAAGTGTGTTCAGAGGAAGCAAGGACCGAGATGGTGCAATTCTGAAGGAAGGGAGGCACGAGGTCAGTCCATTTGGAATCTAGAAAAAAATCGCGTGAAGGTCAAAATCACTTCCTTATCTAACCAATGTCTGTCTGAGGAACAAAGAAAACCAGCCCTGGTGATTT